CAATAATAACTATATCTATAATTCAATGGATAACTAAATTATAATAATTTGAATCTCACTAATCATCTGAAACGTCGATTTACTAATTCATATCAAATCTAAATATAGTTAGATATCAGTGAAGGCCGGGGTATTAAACACACACCTCATCACTGATGGCCCGGGGGTTTGGTTTGTGTGCTGTTATGTATGTGTGTCTCTGTGTATGTAGTGGTGGTGTGGATGTGGTTGTGGTGATAGTGGCCGATGAAGTATTAATACGGGGTAAAAATAAACACTGAAATAAGCTTAAAAACTATTGTTTGGGTTATAAAAGTTATAATTAATTAAAGATAAAATCCCGAGAGAAGCAAAAAAAATGTGTGTATTTGTTATAAAATATTTATCTTTATGTATTGTATAATCAATTATTACTTAAGAATTCACACTTTGATTATTAAATAAAAAATGAGAGACAATTGTTTTGTCGGTTGATTTTGAAGAGAAATACAAGTTTTTGGTTTCAATTGTTTTCATCGAAAACAGAGATATCGAGAGATATTGAGAAGAAGATGGAGAGAAAGATTGAGAGAGAAAACCACAACAATTATATATAAGTAATAGTATTTAACAATTCATTTAAATATATATATACTTTTATATAAATTTCTAATTATTATTATTAATATTATATATATTTAACGTTTTGTTAGTTTGTATTGTAATTACAGAATTCATTGCCTAAAAAAGTCGGTGTATTTTTCATCATCTCTTTTATAATGATATCATTTTTGTGCTCAAAATGTGGTTTCGTTTCATTCATAGTATACAAGAAATGGTAAAAGAAATCATAAAAACACTTCCTCTTCGGTAGTAATCGTAAGAATCGGAAGAATATTAGACATCAAACATGAAGTGATCGGCGAAGAAGTTGAGGAACCAATCGATGATTTTCACAACAATTTCAAAACAATTTTCATAACTTCGGGAGAGATATCGGGAGACGAAGAAGACATTAGACACAAGTATAAGAAGTGGAGAGAAAGAAGAAAAAAACACACAAAACAATTGTCATTCAGTTGTTTCAAACAATATAAGTCTTTCTCACTCTCTATAAGTCATTGTATAATATATGGTATTTCGGGGACAAAGAGGAGGTAGAGATCGCGGGAGAGAGAGAGAGTAAGAGATAGTGAGAGAGAAGTGTCGCAAAACTTATTAATTCAATGACTATTATTATTATTTATAATATTTATATATTTATATAATGTTTTAATTCATTCATTCAATGAGAAGGTGTGAATAGTCTATATATTATTGTCAATTGAATATTTATGTGTTTTTATAAGATTTTATTGTGATTTTCATTTTCATACCGATGTCTCAACGCTCTGATTCGAGTCGGTTATTGTGTGGCCTTTCGGTAACCGCTTCGCCCGGAGCTCCTGTTGCTTATCCTTCTCGTCGAGACTGGCGCTCGTCGATAGGGGGCCTTTCGGGGGCACAGCAGCGGTGGCCGCCCCTCCCGTCTGGTGCACGGCTTGTGACGACTGTGACGGCGGGAAAGTGGAAGAGCCCGCGTCCAGCGATTGAGACTTGAGTTGGGCCGCCCGGCGCAGGAGTGCCGGCGGCGCCTGATTTCGCTCCACACCCGACCGGAAAGCGTTCACAACACGAATCTATTGGTGGCGTTAGTAATGGCGACAGGGATTCCGGTGCCGATCACATCCAGAGACGCCCGGCGCAGGAGTGCCGGCGGCGCCTGATTTCGCTCCACACCCGACCGGAAAGCGTTCACAACACGAATCTATTGGTGGCGTTAGTAATGGCGACAGGGATTCCGGTGCCGATCACATCCAGAGAGGGGTCACATCCAGAGGTTGTGTTTGTTGTCAGCGATAATAAGTGGGAGAGAAGTGGGAGAGAGAGTGAGAGAGCGGGAGAGAGACGGAGAGAAAACATAATTGAAAAATCAATAACGAAAATGGGTTTTATTTATCGCATAAATATTTTTATAACTTATTTATATATTAGTGATAATAATTGGTTAATTCAAACATATTCTGGTGATTATTATACTTATAATTAATTATTATTAATTAATATTATTAGTAATTAATAGTGTGATTAGTTTTAATTGTAAAACTTATCGTTAAGTGAATAGCATTAATATTGTTATATTAATAATTATAACTATAATATAAACTATAAAAGCGTTAAGAATATTCTGTATATAACTATAACGTTATTATAATAATGTATTTGTTTGTTGTATTCGTTACACCATTTCTGGTGAGCATTAATAATGAAAACCAAAAAATCAATTGTAAAACACAACTCAAACCCAAAAATGTTTTGTTATATATTTTGTATCAAATCAAATGAAATTAGAGGCGAAACACAACAACAAAATCAATTAATGGATGCATTTTAAACACTACTTGTAATGCACTTCTCTAATAGCAATTCAACACAATTTCTAGTCTACAGCAAAAAGCATCAAAAAATATATATATTTATAAAATCAATTCACAATTTAATTTCATTATATGTATCATAAAAACCCATTTGATTACATATAAGTTAATACATACTCACAAACACCAGAATATCACTGGAGATAGACTTATAATAAAATGTAATGAATTAAAAACAAAAGGCAAAGCAGTAGTAGTTTTAATAATTATAATAATAAACATAAATCAAAAACCACTCGACACACAGGAAAAAAAATAATCGCAACCAATTAATTCACTCTTGAATTTGTGTGTTATTTATGAAATGAGTTTTAATTTTATTATTTATGGGCTTCGAGAGAGAGAGAGAGAGAGAGAGAGAGAGAGAGAGAGAGAGAGAGAGAGAGAGAGA